GAGGAGAAGGTGGAGAGCAGAGAAGAAGGGAAAAGGGAGAGAAGAAAGAGAAAGAAGAGGTGAGGGATTGGTGGTTGAGATAAAGGAGGAAAAAGGGAAAGATGAGAAAGGAGAAGGGATAAAGAGAGAGGAGAGAGAAGAGAGAGATTAGAGACGATAAAAGAATCGGAGGAGGAGAAGAGGGAGAAGGAGACAAGAAAAAGAAAGAAAGAAAGAGCAGAAGGTAAAGAGACAGAAAAAAGAGAGAGAATAGAAAAACAAGAAGAAAAAAATAGAGAATAGGGAGGAGGCTAGAGGAGAGGAGAACCAGAAGAAACTAGACAGAAAACGAGAGAAATAGTACAGATTTAGACTTCGAGACCGAGAAGGAAGATGTTTGGGGAGGAGGAGCGATAGGGGGGAGGGGGGAGAGGGGAAGGCGGGCACAGGTACAGAGAAAGAAGAGAGGAGGGGCGAGGGAGAGAAGAAAAGAGGGGGGGCGGGGGTAGGAGAGATGAGGGGGGAGGAGAGAAGGGGCGGGCTGGTAGGAGAGAGAGGGCGGGGGGGGGGAAGGGGGCAAAGGGAGGTCCAGCATCGGGTCGGTCTAAATAGTGGTCATGCTGATTGCCTGCGCCGTAAACAGACCGAGCTGGGGAATAAGAGAGAGAGAGAGAGATAGATAGGAGAGAAGAGAAGATAGATAGATAGAGAGATAGAGATAGATAGATAGAGAGAGAGAAGATAGATAGGAGAGAGAGAGAGAGGATAGATAGAGAGAGAGAGATAGATAGATGAGAAGAGAGAGATAGAATAGAGAGAGAGAGAGGAGATGAGAGAGAGATAGACGAGAGAGAGAGAGAGAGATAGAAAGAGAGAGAGGAGAAGATAGAGAGAGAGAGAGAGAGAGAGAGAAGAGAGAGAGAGAGAGAGAGAGAAGAGAGAGAGAGAGGAGAGAGAGAGAGAAAGAGAGAGAGAGGAGAGAGAAAGAGAGAGAGAGAGAGAGAGAGAGAAGAGAGAGAGAGAGAGAGAGAGAGAGAGAGAGAGAGAGAGAGAGAGAGAGAGAGAGAGAGAGAGAGAAAGAAAAAGAGGGAGAGAAAAAGAAAAAAAAGAAAAAAAGAAAGAGCTCGAGATGTAAACGAATCGAGAATCTAACCTGAAGATAAAAGAAAAAGGACGAAAAAAAAAGAGAAATTTCAATCTCGTTGATGATAGATTATGAATATTTGCATATTGATTTATATGTTTTGTTTGTGTTTGTTGTTTGTTGTGTGTGTTGTGTGTGTTGTGTGTGTGTGTGTGTGTGTGTGTGTGTGTGTGTGTGTGTGTGTGTGTGTTGTGTGTGTGTGTGTGTGTGTGTGTATGTGTGTGTGCGTGCATGTATGTGCATTTACGCACTTTTACCTAGAATGACTTAAACACCAATATCCACCAACATACAATACACAAATAGACACAAACAAACAAAAACAAACAAAAAAAAAAACAACATCTAGACGCCAGCAACATCTTATCCCCATTGTTTTTGTCTGTTTGTTTTCTCTCGGACAATAATATCCCCCCCGCATCTACCCCCCCCCCCTCCAAGGAAAATTCGTTTAGTGGGACAGTAGATTCTCACTTCTGCACGTGTCAGTAGACAGTGTTGTCAGGAAGGAGAGGGAGAGGGGAGAGGGAGAGGGGAGGAGAGAGAGAGAGAAGGGAGAGGGAGAGAGGGAGAGAAGGAGCGAGCGAAGAGGGCGAGGGAGAGAGAGAGAGAGAGAGACCAGAACAGAGGACAGAGAGAGGAAGGAGAGGAGAGAGAGGAAAGGGAGAGAGAGAGGAGAGAGAGAGAGAGAAGATAAAAGGAGAAGAGGGAAAGGGAGAAGGGAGGGAATAGGATAGGGAGAGGGGAGAGAGGGAGAAATATAAGATAGATAGATAGAGAGTTAGCGCAAATAGGAATGACAGAGGACGGAAACGAGAAAGAGGAGAAGGAAAAAAGAAGGAGAAAGGAGAAGGAGAAGGAGGGAGAAGGTGAGAAGGTGGAGATGGAAGACGTGATGAAGTGTGATAAAGAGTGAGGGAGGGGTTATGGGCAAGGGATAGGAGGGGGGGAAGGTGGAGGTGGTAGGGGGTGGTACAGAAGGAAGGAAAGGTCATTAAAACGCGGTAAAACACGACCTTCACGGCTACAGAAGGGAAGGCGGAATAAAAGGTAGGGGGGACTCAAAAAAAAAAGCAAAATACGCAAAAAAAGAAAACGGGAAATATGTCATTCGAGTGTGAATGGGATTGTGAATTCGATGCTAAGATTTCAATTATTATTTTTTTCTCTATTTGCAGTTCTTTATGTATTCATTCATTCATTTACTTATCTATTTTTTCTTGTTGAATGGGGAAGTTTGATGTTTGTTATCTTTCGCTGGTAGAGTTAAGAACGAAAAGTGAAGTTAGTGAATGTACCAGGAATTTGTTGGAGAATGAAAAAAAAAAAAAACAAAACAAAGGTAACTTTGAATTAGATAACGTTGAATCTTGGCACACACACACTTACGTATACACCCACATTAACACACGCACGAGACACACACACACACACACACACACACACACACACACACACACACAACACACACACACACACACACACACACACACACACACACACACCACACACACACACACAACACATTAAAAAAAATAGAAAAGGAAGAAGAGAGAGAGAGAGAGAGAAGAGAGAGAGAGAGAGAAGAGAGAGAGAGAGAGAGAGAGAGAGAGAGAGAGAGAGAGACGAGAGAGAGAGAGAGAGAGAAGAAAGAGAAAGAAGAGAGAGAATAGAGAAAGAAAGGGATAGAAAAGAAAAAGAAAGAGAAAGAAAACAGAAAGAAAAAGAAAGAGAAAAGAAACAAACAAAAAACAAACAAAGAAAACAAAAAAAAAAGAAAAGAGAAAAAAAGAAAGAGAGAGAGAAAAGAAACAGAAACAGAAAGAAAAAGAAAGAAAGTAAGGTTGGCAAGCCCCAGCGTCGCGGATCAACGTCGCAAAAACAGAATCGACTTGAGTTCGTCTGCACCGCTGTCTTTGCTGTGACCTGAGAGCTTGACTTTGGCATTTTACTTGTTTTTTTTCTTGTTGTTTTGTTGGTAACAGTGGTGGAGGTTTTGTTGTTCATTTTGATTTATTTATTTATTTGTTTTATTTGTTTTTTTATGTAAAGGGGGTGTGACGGGAAGAGGAGGAGGAGGAGGGGGAAGGGAGGGAGAGAGAGGAGGAGGAGGAAGAGGAGGGAGGGAGGAGGAGGAGGAGGAGGAGGAGGAGGAAGAGACAGGAGGAAGGAGGAGAGGAGGAGAGAGGAGGGAGAGGAGGAGAACGAGGGAGAAGAAGAAGAGTAGGAGAGAAAAGAAGAGAGGAAAAAAGAAGAAAAAAAAAGAAAGAAAAGAAGAAAAAAGGATAAAAAGTAAAAAATAAAGGACGAAGAATACGAAGAAAGGAGATGACAGAACAAGAAAGAAGAAGAAGAAAAAGTTGGAAAAGGAAAGAGAGGAGAAAAAAAATGAGTGAGGAAAGAGAGAGGAAGAGGAAGGAGAAACACTAAAGAAAAGAAGAGAAGCGAGGAAACAAGAGGGGTGTTGGGGGAGGGGGGGGGGGGGAGGGGGGGAGGGTAGCTTAGTCATGTGGTTGAAATATTTCAGTTTATTTTTTTTTTTTTTTTCTCCGCTGATCCTTAACGAAGATAGAAAAGCTAAAACAATGCTGGGGAATGAGTGTGTGTGTGTGTGTGTGTGTGTGTGTGTGTGTGTGTGTGTGTGTGTGTGTGTGTGTGTGTGTGTGTGTGTGTGTGTGTGTGTTGTGTGTGTTTGTCATTTGTTTGTGTTATTAATCTTTTTTGTGTTGTGCATATCTCTATGTACGTTTGTTAATCCGTGCACACATATACATATTTTCTATATTTGCATAACAAATTAAATTTAAACAAATACCCCCTTCCCTCCCCCCCAAAAATAACAACAACAAACAACAGAAACTAAAGCCAAAAAACAAAGCCCTCTCCCTTCCCCCAAAAACAACAAAACAACAACAACATAAACAAAAGCCAAAAAAACAAAGAAAATTATAGTCTTCCTTCACAGCAAGAATTCCTTTGCAAATGAACGTATATTTTGTGACGTAGATTGCAAGGTCAAGGAAGGTGTTGCTCAGCGTGGGTTCGACTAAGTGCAATGGGCTTGCTTTTCATGCTTTTCTTTCATTTTTCTTTGTTTTCTTTTCTTTTCTTTCATTTTTCTTTCTTTCATTTTTCTTTGTTTTCTTTTCTTCTTTTTTCATTTTTCTTTCATTTTTTTCATTTTTTCATTTTTCTTTCATTTTTCTTTGCTTTTCATTCTTTTGATAATTTCTCTTCATTTTCTCTTCTTGGTCCTACATTTTAATTCATTTTTTTGTTTCTATTATTAGTTTTCATTGTTTTTTTTCTTTGTTATTCATTCTTTTCATAATTTCTCTTCATTTCCTCTTCTTGATCTTGCATTGTTTTCTTTTTTTCTATTCTTTCGTTTTTTCTTTGTTTTTCATTCTTTTGATCATTTCTCTTCATTTTCTCTTCTTGATCTTTTAATTTTTTTTCTATTTCTTTTCGTTTTCCTTAGTTTTTTTCTTTCTGTTCTCTTAATTTCTGTTCTTCCATCTTTCATCTTCCTTTTTTTTATTTTGAGTTATATTCTTTAGGTTTATGATGATGATTACGATGATATAATGATGATAATGATAATAATATGATTTAATAATGATAATGATAATAATTTTTGAAAAAAATAGTAATAATAATGATAACAATAAAAAAAAAATAAAAATAATAATGATAATAATAAATTTTTAATATTATAGTAATGATAATAATAATGATAATGAAAATAATAATAATAATAACAACAATAATAATGATAATTAGTAACGAATAAACAGTACCAATAAACAACAAAAAACATAATCAATAACAACACTAATTTCTCTCTCTCCCTCTCTCTTCTTCTCTCTCTCTGCAG